ACATTGAGATACCAACTCACTCCAGTTAGAATGGCATCATTAAAATATCTGGAGACAATAGATGCTAGGGAAGATGTGGAGAAATAGGAACACTTTTACACTATTGGTAGGAGTGCAAATTAGTTCAACCATTGTGGAAGACATTGTGGTGATTCCCCAAGGACCTGGGAATAGAGATTGCACTTGACCCAGCAACCTCATTACTGGGTATATATTCAAAGGGTTATAAATTGTTCTATTATAAAGACATGTGTGTTCAGTGTGGTACTGTTTACAATAGCAAAGACCTGGAACCAACCCCAATGCCCATCAACGATAGATTGTACAAAGAAATGTGGCACATATACACCATGGAATACTACACAGCCATAAAATATGAGTTTGTGTCCTTCATAGGGACATTGATGAATCTGGAAACCACCAATCTCAGCAAACTGACACAAGAACAGAAAATCAAACACCACATATTCTCACTTATAGGCAGATGTTGAAGAATGAGAACAAATGGACACAGGGAGGGGAGCATCACACACTAGGGTATGTTGAGGGGGCTAGAGGAGGGATAGTTGGGAGTGGGGAGGGTGGGGAGGGATAACATGGGGAGAAATGTCAAATATAGGTGATGGAGGAATGGTGGCAGCAAACCACCTTGCCATGTGTGTACCTATGCAACAATCCTGCATGATCAGCATATGTATCCCAGAACCTAAAGTACGATTAAAAAAAAAATTAAAAAGTATTTTTTAAATAAAGAATTAGAAAAAAATCAAGCTCAGCAGAAGCTGCCTATTCTACTAAGGTTTCCATAGTTTCCACCATTGCATATTAAATTTTTTAACTTACTTTTTTATACACGTATAGTTGTATGCTTATATTTTTGCTGTTTTTCTTTTTATAAAATGTTGTACTTAGAGCACAGTTGCAACATACCTACATACTTTTTCACACCTATATATTTTTTCAGTCATTTAAAAATTACAAACATTATATTGTTTATGTGCTTCAGTATGTATTTCCTAAGAACGAAGTCAGTCTCTAATATACCATAATATAATTATTCGGTTAGTATTACAACATTGACATGATGCTATTTACTACCAGTCTGTTATCTTTGGTACAGCTATTTCCTTGTATGTTGTGTGCCATTTTTTTTCTGGCCACTTTCAATAATTTTCTAATTTCATTTGTTTTTCAGCAGTTTAGATAAAGTGTGTCTAGACATTATTTTCTCTGGATTTGAGATGCTTAATTGTTGTTGAGGTTGCCTAATTAAAAGTTGATACAGAGTAACTTTCGTAAGTTTTCAGCAATTCTATTTTCAAATATTTTTTAAATGTCCTCTCATCTTCTTCTGGGATTCTAATAATACGTGCATTATACTGAACAATATTGTTTCAGAAGTTGCTGAACTCTTGTTTATTTCAGTTTTCAATATATATCACTTTTGTTCTTCAGATCTGATAATTTCTATTGATATAACGTCACATACACTTATTTCTCTATTTTGCTATTTCCAACTTATCATTAAACCCATATAATAAATGTTATATTTTGTTTGATTCTTTTTTATAATTTTAATTTCTCTACTAATAGCTATATTCATATACTTATAAATATCTCTTATTTGAATTTTCTTATATTCATTATAGTTGCTTTGTTTTGGTCTAGTAGTTCCCATATCTGATCATCTTATTTTTTTTTAATTATTCCTTATATTTTCTTGTTCTATTGTATGTCTAGTAATTTTTATTGGTTATTAGACATTATGGATGTGACATTGAAGTGATTTGTCTATTCTACTATCCTCTCAATAATTATTGGATAAACTCCTGAAAAATATTGAGAAAGAAAACTATGTGAATTTCGTGGAAAAGGCATTATATACAAAGGAATTACAAATGCAGAGGACAGGGGCATTCTGCATTTGTAAAAAAAAGGGAAGAATCCAGCGTTTAAAAGTACATTTTCAACTTCATATCTTACTTCAGCCATATATGGTAGCTTGTGTCATTAATTCCTAAACATGTTCAGGGTTCAGAAGAAAAGTTTGTTTATATCTTGTTGGTATGAAAGTTTGAAGAGTTTAGTTTCATTTTCTCTGTGCTTCTAGAGTATTAACTACTATTTTTTTTGCTAATTTTCCTTCCTAAAATGTGTTATTTCTCATTATTTTTAATCTATTCTCTTGTCCTTTATGAAAATCTGGATTAATACATTTTTGTGGTTGTCATTTTGGGAAATTAGGTTTAACCACTTCACCTAGCAGCTAGCTCCTTTAGTATTTATTACACACCATCAGTGGCTCATGTACACCATTGAGTATGGGGCCTCTGTATTATCACGCTGGATCTAAACAATATGACCCAGTTATGGATTTGTTACACCTATTCTTTTACTCTAAGGAGGTGTAAGATTTTGTGTTCTTCCCTCTTTCTTTACTTCCAAGAAATGTAAGCTATGATGCCACTATTATCAGAAGTGGTACTTGATATAGAAGAAGTAAGAAATTTTAATTAAGATAGGAAAGACAACTACTGTCTTTAATCATAAGACTTGGATATCTTCATTCTTTTTTTTCTCCCATGGGCATCAGTTATATTAAGATGTGCAGTAGCGTCTCCCAAGTGGGAAATAGAGCAAAGTCACATAAAAGTATGTGTGGAATAGGGTGCTTTTTTTAGCCTAATGATCTAAATCATAAACTTAAAAAGCACAATGGATATTCAACTCTTATGAACAGAGGAAAAATCATCTGTCATTTGTGACTGAATAATAATTTTGATTAGAGCCAGAATAACTCATAAAATGAAATTAGAAAAAAAGTCAATTTTCCAAAATATTGCAATGTTATGAAATAAGAGTCATTCTTCTTGCACAGATAAGTAAAGTAAAACTCTAAAACAAGGGATAGAAAACTCTGTTCAGGCCAGATAGTAAATATTTTAGAGTTTGCAATGACATCACCTCTGCTGCAATTATTTAGCTCTGTCAATGTAGCATGAAAACAGCCATAGACAATATGTAAATGAATGTGCATGGCTGTGTTTCACTGAGGCTTAAATTTCATATGTTTTGCATGGGTCATGAAATATTATTACTCTTTTGATTTTTATAATTATTATTATTAAATGTAAAATTCATCTTAGTTTGAGGACCATTCACAAACAAGCAGGAAGTTGAATTTGGCTCACAGGACGTAAGTTGCCAACCTCTGCTCTGAAAGGATAAATAATTACCTAAAGACGTATAACTGGTTGGATCCAGCTAGAACATATTTTTTTTTACATTACAAAGGTAATTATCTTCATTTAATTTCTGTGTGATACCATCACAATTAAAATCAAGCATTTTTCACCTATTTGCAAAGCTCAGTCTTATTTTTCAAGGAGCTAGAAATGCCAATATAGGAGACAGAACACATCTAAAATGGTTTTTCTTCTTTTATTCCTTTTCAAATGCAGTGTCAAGTGGTATCCAGATATTGCTCACATTGTTCCTGCCCTCTGTCTGTAGGTGAAATTCTTCAAATATCTGATTGTCTAAAGTCAACAATTGACACAGTTCACTTTTGTGGGGGAATAGGATGAGTTTCTAACGAAAAAAGTGAACTTAACAGCATTTATTCTTTATCCAAGGCAGAAAAATTTAAGTCTATGAAAATACTCAAATGTATTTTTTCAATATTTGAGACACTGTTGTTAAGAATTGTTTTATAAAAACATAAAGATTAACTAGGTCAGGTGTGGTGGCTCATGCCTGTAATCCAAGCACTTTTGGAGGCCGAGGCAGGTGAATTGCCTGAGAATCAGGAGTTTGAGACCAGTCTGGCCAACACGGTGAAACTCCGTCTCTACTAAAAATACAGAATTAGCCAGGTGTGGTCGCAGGCGCCTATAGTCCCAGCTACTCAGGAGGCTGAGACAGGAGAAGCACTTGAACCCAGGAGGTAGAGGTTGCAGTGAGCCGAAATCACACAATTGCACCCTAGCCTGCCAACAAGGAGCAAAATTTCATTTCAAATAAAAAAGTATGATCTTAATTTCTCACCAAAAGTGTTGTTAACCAAGGATTTGTACATACTGTACAAAATAAATAATGATAAGGGACACAAAGACCTTGGCCTATTGTGGAATGAATACTGCTGTTTACTAAATATTTATATTTTCCTGTCACCTGGTAGCATTTCACTCCCTCTGCCTCTGTACTTCAGGGGAACCATATGACCGCTCCAGTCAATGAGTTACGAGGTGAAAGTGAACTGTGTCACTTCTGGGTTGAGAACTTAATTGGTTCTGTAACATACTCTGGGGTGCTATTTACTATTTACCAGAGCAAGTGGAAATGTTCCAGATTACAGTTTCTCCAACAGCCTGGGTCCCATGGTGAGAATAATGGCAACACTGAAAAATGCCACCGCCAACTTGCAATGAAAATTTAGAGTGAATAACACATAGAGTGAGTAAGAAACAAAGCTTTGTTGGTTTAAGAAGCTAAGGTGTGGGATTTTGTTTATCATGACAGAATCACTTGGCCTTTTCGGACTGACATAACTATTTGATTTGAAGACACAGCCTGTTAACCCCATCAGCCTTTTATGGGAATGACAACCATTTACATGAGCCTGTTAAAGTCACATAGAAGATTTTATGAAATTTGTGTAATTGCATGTGCTACTTCCAAAATAAATATGCAAGAGATTATATTTTGTCTATAGCTATCCTCAGAACTTGTATGATCTACTTCATCATGATTTACCTAGAGTAGAATCATGATGTGCCTGCTTTGTGCCTATTTTATCCACGTTACTTTAAGCAAAGCAGCTAACTTGAGGATATAAGTCTTCCCTGACCCTTTATCTCAAGAGTTAAACATTTGGCAAGACTCTTCTTTGGCTTTTAACTTGTTAATGCTAGTCTCTTAGAATGTGCCACTTAAAAAAAATTATAGCAAAAACAGGCTGAGACACTCTATCTTTGGAGATTCTAATGAAAATGCTTCCGATGCTATAAGTCAATGGGTTGTTCCTTTGACTATGTTTAGTATTTTTTAAAAGGATGCCATGTTATTTTAGGAGACACAGATTTAAAAAATAACAATATTACCATAAAGGAATACCTATTTTTTGTTGCTTCAAATTTTATCTTTTATTTTTAAAAATCTGTGCAAAATCTGATTGTACAAAATAAAAATAAATCAACAGAGTGCTCCATTTTGCTAATGGTATGTTGTTAATAAAATCATAGGTTAAAAAAGAAAGAAAGCCCCTCATATGGTAAAGATAAGTTTAAAGAGAGGCAAAAAATAAAGGTGACATATTTGCCATAAAATAACAAGAATGAATTAGAGACCCACTGGAGTATTAAAACCAAGAGCAGTGGTTTTTAAAGTGGTGAACAGTTAGAATTTTATTTATTTTTGAAGCATACAATGCTTTAGAGACTTTCTTTTTTGCTACTGAATATTTTAAAACCTAGTAAAAGCAGTTAGATTATTTAAATAAATTAAACAGTTTATAAATGTAAGATATCTTTTTCTGCCAGAGTTAAATCACTATGACAGAAAGGGCAAGGGCACTCTTGAGAATCCCATGGGAGAAATGACACATGATTCTTTCAAAGCTATAACTTTGAGTTACAATATTACACATCAGAGTACAATAAACTCAATATTAAAGTAAAAGAGCTGGATGCAGTGTCTCATGCTTATAATCCCAACACTTTTGGAGGCTAAGGTAGGAAGATCCCTTGAACCCAGGAGTTTGAGACCAGTCTGAGACAAAGAGACACTGTCTTACAAAAAAATTTAAAAAATTAGCCAGTATGGTGGCATGGACCTGTAATCCTAGCTATTCAGGAGGCTGAGATGGGAGGATCACTTGAGTTTGGAGATTGAGGCTTCTTTGAGCCACTATCATGCCGGTGTATTTCAGCTTGGGTGACAGAGTGAGACCCTATCTCTTAAATAACTAAGTAAATGAATACATAAAATAAAAAAAAAAGGCAACCCATATACAAGCAGACAAATTAAAATTAACACTGGCATTATAAATGTGAAATTATGGCACTGAGTCAGGAAAATAGAATCTAGAGGCAGGAAACATATGCAGTCAATTCACACTTCAGTTATAATAGGAAATATTCTCTCCATAAGACGTATGCCGTAAATGACTTTGTAACTTTACTTCATTCTCTTTATTTATATAAGACATACCCCAAGTAGGGGGTATTTAAACTCATAAAAACTCTGTTATAAGGCCTTTGAGTCCCTATGCTCAGGCCCACTCTCACACTGTTGAGTGTACTTTCTTTTTCAATAAAACCCTTCATTCATTCATTGCTTTGTTTGTGTGTTTTGTCCAATTCTTTGCTCAAGATGCCAAGAACCTGTACACCCTCCACCAGTAACATATTTTTGCGAGCCTGTCTGGAGGAAGAGGTAAGCCCTAAGTTTGGGATTCATTTCTCTCCCTTACCTTTCTGCTCCATTCTCTCTCTCTCTCTATCCCTCTCTCTCTCTCTCTCTCTCTCTCTCTCTCTCTCTCTCTCTCTCTTCCTTTCCTTGGGACCCCTGGAGGACAGTGTCTAAACATGGAAGCAACTGCAGGTTTCTGGCCATGGCCAATGAAACTAAGGGGTTACCATGTGGAGAAGCCTAACTGGCACCACCCAATTCACTTAAGGAATCTGCATCTTTTTTCATTTTTGTTTTTCCCTCTCTTTCTTTTTCAGTCTTACGGTGGCTGTTTCCTAGTATCTCCTTGGAAATTAAGGGCAATTGGCTGGAGTCACTCCCAAGTATTGACTGAAGGCCTAAGGAATGAATGGAAATAATTGCCCTGCTCTGAAGGGATAAGAATATTTTTTAAATATTTTCTTCAGGTAGTCCCTGATCCCTACTTGCAGGTGGTGCAGCTTGGAGCAAACTCACATGCTTCAGGCAACTTAAATCTTTTCATATGATAAGTTCTTCCCTTATTGTACTCAACCAGCTAAGGAACAACAGACTCACACGGCATTCAATTCTCATTACAGTTTATGGCTATTCTTATAGAGCTCATATTAAGCTTTGAAGGGGAAACTTGCATGTGGTATGCACCCCTAAGACCAGAGACATCTGGAGCTTTAAGATTGGATCCCACAGGGGAACACTCCATGGGTTCTGCAGACCTCAAACTCTCCAAAGAGTACGCTCTTGGCAGAGGTTCTGAAGTTTAATATTAACCTCCTTAGAATTTTCTCTTGTAGTTGCAATGCTGCTTGATGCCAAAACTGTTTGGAATTTAAAGTTTACTGTCTAATTGGAAAGTAGGATGCTGTTGCATGTATTCAGGCTTTTGTTAAAAGCAGGGGTTCTGGTTAATGTGTGATGTCCTCCTTCGGTACTGTTTGGCCCCACTGCTTCTTGGAGTCTGGGGAGGTTTAGCTTTTAAAAATCAAACTGCCATGGAGACTGCTTTACCTGAAATTTTGTTTCACAGCCTTCCTTGCGTAATCTAATGGGGCAAGGTAAAACCAGCAAGCTTGTATTGCTATCTCAGGCTAAGGTTCCAAGCTATTGGATCTTCATTTATGTGTGTGTATACATATCTAGATGTGTCTATTTGTATGTACACTTGTTATATGCTGTGTCTACTGAATTGGCTTATAAGTAAAAGAGCTCTCATATATTAAGTAAATGGGTATAAGCAATTTTCAAGTTCACCTGACTTAAAGTGTAACTTTACTAAACAAGCTAGCTTTAAAACTATTGGTGAAATAAAAACAGAAATGTCTTCAGAATTGTTAGCATATATTTTGTTTAAATTTTATGTTTGTCTTTGCTAGATGTTTTAAAATATTAATGTTAATTCCCAAACTGGGAGTTACCTGGGGAGAGCCTGCCTTCCATTCTATTCAAAGTCTCACTGAGATAAATGCATGCCTGTTTGCTTCCTTTGGAAAGGCTAATCAGAAACTCAAAAGAATGCAGCAGTTTATCTCCCACCTGTGATCTAAAAGACCCGAAGCCCCTTCCTTACCTTGAGTTGTACCACCTTTCTGGACCACACCAATGTATGTTTTACATGTATTGATAGACATCTTATGTCTCCCTTATTAAAAGTAAAAGTTAAGTACAGTAAATGAGATAAACACTTTAGATAAACTTTTTGTGTAAATTAAAATCTTAAAAGTTATTTTTAATGCTCATTTAATATATAGGTCATTTTCAATTAAGAAAGGTTGTAATATGAGGAAATATATTTGTAAAATTTTTGAATTGTTCGTATCTACAAATGCCCATATGTAATAGTTCAGAATTTCTTCCTTTTTAGGGTCTCACTAAAGTTTTAGGTTACTAAGAATAAAAACTTTAGTTAGCACATAATTCTGTGTACAAAATGTGTCAGCAAAGGTCAGATACAGTAAACTCCTCTTCGAAGGTTTAATTTTTAACTTATTTGTTCTTAAGGTCAATTTCCTTGTATTTTCCCACTCCTAGTTACCCATCCCATAAACAACTTATCCCGTCAATCCTAATCTCCTAATCACCCTTAGCTACCTGATCTTTCCAGCTGAAACTAACCTCCCCACCTTTTCTGTGCCCTAATCTGCCTGGAAATGACTTGTACTGTGATGGACAACCTCTCCCTTCCTGCCTAGTTAGCCCTATTCAATTTTAAACAGTAGCCAATCAGGTCAGCTTAGATTGTGTGGTCCAACTCTAGCCAATGGGGACAGGACACAGAAGTAGAGACTAACTGTGTTAGGGCTAAAAACCCCTTCCTTCCTTTGCTTGATGTTCTCTCACCTTGGCTAGGAGTGTGAGCAGCACCCTTTTGTAGAAGTAAATTTGCCTTGCTGAGAAATCTTTTGTTTGAGTGCTCATTTTCTTTACAACTCTGAGCCCTTATTTCTAACAATATGGGGACACACCCAGGATCCCATTCTCCTCCAGCGAAGGGTCTTTGATCATCTATTGTGAGGAGATACATCCCAATGTCTCATTGTGGTGTCCTGAGGGGTAAGAGATCGAGACCCACCTGGCGTGATGAATAAATCCAAACTCTGAGTCATGTGGGAAGAAAAGGCCTACAAATAGACATCACCATGACCAGGTGACTCTGCACAGACCAAGGTAAGAAAAGCCATGGGGAAGGTGAAGTAATCCTTGGTCAAGACATGAAGAGACATCCAGTAGGTGGATTAAGCTTCTAGAGAAGGGAAGGAAGAAATCTGTAATATGAAGGATTGAGCCTCAGCAAACCTCTAGAGGGGAGAGAGCAAGAAACCCCTAATACAAGGGATTGAGCCTCAGCAGCCTTCAAAATAGGAAATACCCCAGGTAAAGCAGGAGATAAAAAAAGTCCAAAGAAATAGTAAAATTCCCCCTGACAGTCCCCTAGGCCTCATCGTAAATTATTGGAGGGATAATGAAAGGACTAAACACAAGAATAAAAACAGCAAATGATAAAATATTGTTGTTTCCTTTGGACCAAAGAACCCATCCTTAAACCCTCAGTTTTCTGGCAAAAGTTTCAGTCGAGTGAGGATTGAATTTGTCAACATTTAATACAGTATGTCAATGACAAGAGTTCCATCTCCCAGGAGAAAACAGATTATACCCTGTGTTGGTAGCAGGGACCTGTTCTCCTTTAGCCCCTCAAAGGTTTAGGAGGAAAGCCAGAAATCAACTCCTCTGAAAGGAGTAAGGTCTCTACCCCTGAACAGCCCACTAACATCTGGGACCCACTAGACCACCTGCCTCTGCCAAATCCCCTGCCCCAAGCGGGCACACAGGAGTCTCCTCACTCAGTTCCTCCCTCATATAATCCTTAATGAATGTCCCATGCTCCCCTTAGCCACATGCTTGAGCATGTGCCTCCCCTAGGAAAGCTCTAGCATGAGCTAGAACAACCTCTAAGAAATCAGCCCCATTCTCTTCACCTTAATTAAAGTGCCCCTTGGAAAAGGCTTCATAAATACCCCCTTAACCAGCTCAGAAGTCCAACATTTAAAGAAGTCCAACATTTATGGGGCAGCAGATCAAACTGATCAATATTGGGAGCCACAACTATATACTTAGGCCAAGTTAATGTCCATTCTGGGCATACTCTTTTCAGGGGAAGAAAGAAGCATGATCCACAGGGCTGCTTTAGTAGTCTGGGAATGTGAACATCCTCCTGGCCAAAACGTTCCTGCAGCAGATCAAAAATTCTTGGCCCAAGACTCTCAGTGGGACAATAACAATGCAGCTCACAGGAAATATATGAAAGACCTTAGGGAAATGATAATTAAATGGATTTATGAATGAGTTCCCTGGACCTAAAACCTTTCCCAAGTATTCAATATACAATGAGGGAAAGATGAAGTACCTATGGAATTCTTAGATACATTAAAAGAACAAATAAGAAAATATGCAAGCCTAGATTTGGACGATCCCCTAGGGCAAGGAATGTTAAAGCTTTATTTTGTTACTAATACCTGACCAAACATCTCCCCCCAAAAATTGCAAAAGATAGAGAATTGGAAAAATAAACCCATAGGAGAACTTCTAAGGGAAGCTCAAAAAGTATATGTAAGAAGAGATAAGGAAAACAAAAAGCAAAAAGCAAAAATTATGTTCTCTACTTTCCTACAGAGGGTCTCAGAAAATAGGGCCCCCTGAGACTACTCTCCACCACCCGGAGGCCCATATGCATCTAAACAAAGTATCCAAGGGCCCAGGACACATATGGAATTTAATTCCCCACTTGCTTGGGCAAAGGGCATAAGGAGGTGGAGCCAGGGAACCAAAAAATAGTGAGGGCAAAAGAAAAAAATAAATATTTCAAATGTGGAGAAGTAGGTTATTTAAGACAGAATGTTCTGAATGGGAGAAAGAAATAAATCATTCCACTTACAGGCTTTGAAGAAGAATAGGAAGGTCAGGTGCTCTGCTCTTTTTATCTCAAGTCCCACCAAGAGCCCTTGATAAGTTTAGTGGTGAGTCCGGAACATGAAGTTGTAACCTTTTTAACAGATTCTAGAGCAGCTCATTCCTCTGTTTGTTTCCTTCCATCTAGCATCCTCTGCTTCTCAGACAAAACCGTTTTTCACAGGGGTAAAGGGAGAGGTTTTTAAGGCAAAAAGTTAGAAGACACAGAAGTCAGATACAGAAATCAATTACTTACATTAAATTTCTACTAATCCCTGAAGCTAGAACTAACCTATTAGGGAGAGACTTAATGGTAAAATTGGGTATAGCCCTACATGCTGGCCCAGAAGAATTTCTCACTTCATTAAATTTACTTACTATGGCAGATGAAAAATATATTTATCCTGATGTCTGGTCAAGAGAAGGAAGTTGAGGAAGACTTCAAATTCCTTCAATGTCTGCAGCATCCTTTTGCAGACATGACATGCTGAGACCAGGAACCCAAAATGATGGTAACTGATAGTGGTGCTACGGCCTTAAGTTTTGGTCACAATCTCACATTTCTAAACACAATTCTGAGAGAACATTGTGTTGGACTAGGCTTATGTACTAGGCCCCATCAAATCAAATCAAACCAAAATAGGGTCACTCATGCTAAGAATTTTTTTTTCTCATGTAATAGAGGGAACTTTTATTTTTTCAGAGAATTCAGACAGCCATTGATTATACAGAGCCATTTCTCAGCACGCTTTTCTTTCTACTTAAGAAATTAAAATACAACATGATGAGGATGATGATGCCAAAACAAGACTGCTGGTTCACATCACCTAGGATACAAATACACACTTAATCACTTGACACTTTATTGAATGCAAAGCAAGATTTAGCATCTTTGCCTTTGTTGTACCTAGCTGAGGCCGGAGCCCAGGGAGGGGAGGACTGCATGATTTTTCTTGGCGGGGGGAGGTGTGCACCCTGCAGTCCTGTGGTGTTGTGGGAAGATCAGCCCATGTTCTGTCGGTTGCCATAGCCCCTAGGATGGGTGTCCTTCCAGTCATCCCACTCCGGAGCTCTGTACAGTGTTTGTTCATCATCGTCTTCCTCCTTTTTTTCTTGATTTTCCCGTTGCTGAGCTGCTTTTTTGAATTCTTCTTCTGGTGTTTTCTTGGTTATTCCCTGATCTGGTAATGCTCCATATTTCCGATGTTGCTCATACCAGTCACTCACTGTCATAGTTGCCAGACTTGGATAAGCAGCTCCAAACACTTTGGTTTGGGCCATGTTCCTAGTGAGAATGAAGGGTTCCATTGGAGGCCTCTCCAGACGAGATGTGTTAGAAGTTGATGCCTCTCTTGAAGAGTTTCTTTCTCTCAGGATCTTTATTTCCTGGTCAATGCTCTCAATCTCTTCTTAGCTGATATCAATCCACCTCCGAAGGTGAAGATAAGATTCATGAACATGCTCATCATCTGCTTGACCACTTTCCACAGCAGATTTCATTGCAGATAGCCTATGCTCCAAATCCTTCTTCTGCTTGTATCTCTCTATTTTAGCCTGTCTTTGAGATGCCATAGCAACAAGGCTAGGATAAGCCATAGAGGAATTAGCAGTGTGATTTTCAGCTGAGTTGTTCTTGGCTTTGGGCAGCTCAGACTCTGCCACATGATAGCAATGGCACTCAGTTAAGTCGTTTATAAAGTGTTCTGGAGCCCGCTGCAAATGATCTAGACACTTGCTGGGGTTGACTTATTTCATGGTGAGGGCTCCTTGAAACGCTGGTACCAAATAGGTACTTCAGGTCGGTGGGACCAATCTCTTCCAAGTCTTCATTTCGGCTGAATAAGTCGAGCTGCAATAACATTTTGGCAGCCTTCTCAAGGAGGTCCAGGCGTTTGAACACCTTCTCCTGGACTATCCGGGAACCGGCAGGTGCAGTCGCTACTTCTACTTCATCCAGCAGCTGTTTGCTGGTTTCCAATAGCTCTGTGAGCCGCGCAGCAGTAACTCGTCTTCAGCGGCCATCTTGAGGAGAGAGAAGCCCACTCATGCTAAGAATTTAAGGAAACACATAGGTTCTAGAAAGGACAGGTTTTGATTTTTTTTCTCCTACAAATCTCTGTAACAGAAATTTCTCAAAGCATAGGTATCCATCCCCTGAAGTTCCCATCAAATATTTTAACCATATTAATTTCCTGTCACCTAGAAACCATCAAGCTTCAGCTGATCATGCAACAAAAGTTCCAGCCAGTTCCACGTGAAGACACCACCACTAGCCATCAAGAAGCTGCCATCCTACCCTGCCTCCACTAGGCAGAACAGGCTGAGAATTCTGTGCTCCTTAATGGGTAGGAACTATGCCCCATCCAGCATGAAGCAGTTACAGAAGAAAACACCATCAGTTCCTCTGCCTCCCATAAAGATTTAGGGGGATCATATCTCTCAGGGGACATATAAGGCAGGAAAATAGGGCCTGGAGACAGGGAACAAAAGGCCAATTCACACTTCAGCTGTAACAGGAAATATCCTCTCCATAGGGTATACGCCATAAATGACTTGGTAACTTTACTTCATCTTCTTCATTTTTATAGGGCATACCCCAAGTACAAGATATTTAAACTCACAAAAACTGTGTAACAGGGCCTTTGAGCCCCTGTGGTCAGGCCTGGTCCCTCACTGTGGAGTGCATTTTCCTTTTTATTTTTATTTAGTTTTATTTAGTTTTTATTTTTTAAGACGGAGTCTCGTTCTGTCGCCCAGGCAGGAGTGCAATGGCATGATCTCAGCTCATGGCAACCTCTACCTCC